TAATCCACAGAGAGGATCAACCTCTCAGAGTCAATTGTAGAGTCAATTGTATTCCACCGAGAATCCTTAGGTTACACATCTCGGCTAACAACATATATATACCAGCCGAACCAACCCTATCTCTAGGCCCAAACGGAAACGGAATTAACCTTAAGCAATACTACTAACACAAGGATTAAAGGCCAAATTACAATTGACTACCCATAACTACTAACAGGGTTCTAATCAGATTGTTCCGCTTGGCGAGAGTTGGTAGTATTTGTGGATGGTGGGACTACGACCCACCTCATGGGACGGGAGGATGAGTTGTGCATGATCAGTTAGGTATGGTGGTGGTGGCTTCTATCGTGTTCATGGTGGAGCTGTTAGCCCTCCTATATGCGATGCGGTGGTGTCTGTTCAGGGGTCTTCGTTTAGTGATTTTTGCAGCGAATGCTTATGTGGTTCTCATGAAGGTTTAGGAGAGGCAGCTTGATGATGCTCGGGGTGAGACTGTGCTGGAAGAGATTTGTGCTTTGCGTGACTTATTTGAACGGTTTGTTGGTCGTAGGCGTAATAACTAATAAGGTTGCCTAATTGATGGAGAAAAAATTCTTTCATAGTTCCATTTGTTTGTGGGGTTCGATTTTGTTTCTTGGTTTTTTCCAGCTAAGTAACTTTTCTATATCTGGTTGTTTCTTGTTTTACGAGTGAAGTTTTGACAAAAAAATCAAAACGACCAAATCACCTGGTAATTAACTATTGGAACAAAATAAAGAAAGTGAACGCGTTTAGATACTTGGAAGCAAAATAAATCATCTTTGTATATTTCATCCACCAAATCATATCCAAATTATTAATAATGTATCTAAATTATCACTAATCCATTTTTGGATAGAAAATACAATTATTAATTACTTTCCTACTCCTCCTATCTATACTTAGTAGTCAATTAAGAAGTGAAATATACAATTTTCTCCAAATAAAAAATTGAAAACATTGTCTTAGTGGGAGGCAAATTCAGAAAGCCTGAAAGAGCAGTTTATCGTATCAAATCAACAATTCCAAATATTGGAATAAGAAACCGGGGGGTTTTCTAAATATGAAATTGTCTCATCTCCATCGTGCATCCATACAAACCTTTTCCTAATTCCTTCCTACCCAATCATATAACAAATCCCCATTATATATCCACTAGTAGCTAGCCCAATTGTTTTTTTTTTCTCCCTCTCTTCCCCCTAGATTATAAACCAAGGGAATTTGCTTATGCCCAGCTAGCCATATACCAAAATCATCCATATGGCATTCTCAAGAAATACTCATCATCACCAACCAAAAACATCCCCTCCATCCTCCAAAATACCTATCAACAACAACAACAACAACAATCATCACACCTCTAGTAAGCAAAAGCTCTTCATCACTTGTCTTTCCTTCCTCTCATTCGCCCTGCTCCTCCTCGTTCCACTACAAGAGAACCCACGTATAGCGGCTAATTGTTGAGGCAAATATTGTATTTGCCGCTAAAAGAATATTATAAGCAACATATATATAATTGGCCTCAATAGGTACCATTATGTGCCTCTAAAAGTATTACTTATGCAACACATATAATTTGCCTCAATAGGCACAATTATGTGCCTCTAAAAGTATTAGATATACTACACATACATAATTTGCCACTATAGCAATTAAGTTTAGAAACTCTAAAAGCTTTGTAACGACTAATAATTCTTTTACCGCAATAAATATTTTATATTTGTCGCTATAACTAGGGATGGCAATGGGTCGGGTTGGGGCGGATTTTGTCAAACCAAATCCCAAACCCATGGGTTTATCCGCCAAAAAAACCCGGGGTAAAACCCGCTGGGTTTGAAAAACTCAAACCCAACCCAACCCGCTGGGTATCCGCGGGTTTATGGGTACCCGTGGGTTTTTGTGGTAAAAAATTTACAATAACAAGTTTCTTTCAAAATAAAAGTTTAACATCAATTTTCTCATACAAATTAATCATACAAAAAACACCAATCTAGAGCATACAAGCAAACCGCAAATGATCAATACAAATTGTTCAAAATTAAAGATAAACATCTATAAATAATAAGATTAATTGAAAGCTTCTTCCTCGTCAACTAAGTTTCTTCACTCTCCACTTCATAATATCAACTTCATTCTAAAAAATTAGAAAGAACAAATTATACATGTCTCCACAAAACATAAAGAATATTAGTTGTTTAAGGAAGATATATTATTTAGAATACTAAATATACCGGAAAAGTGATTGGATCGAGTGGGTACTCGTGGGTTCGGATTTTGTTGTCATCCCTAGCTATAACTATCCGACTATCCATACAAGAAATTTCACCAAATGAAAAGTGATTGGGAGGGAAAAATAAGAAGGAGCGGGATTTTCATTTTTTTCGTTTTGGGCTGGCGCGCTCAGTTCCCGCTTTCCATTTCAATTTTTTCATTTTCATCTCCCACTCCCAGACCTCTTCCTTGAAAATCCCCAATTAGAAGGAGAGAGAGCATACCATCGACAACAACACCCACACCACCAATCAATCTATCTTCATCTCCCAACCCTTCTCCCCCTTATCGCTGCGCTTATTGCTGGCTCAAACCCTAGATTTCTCCGTTTCGCGCCGCCCTCCGAAACCTTCCTCCTCCAGGCGCAAGAACCAGAAGGCTGCATCTCCTTCCCGCCGGCGGCCTTTGCATCAATCCCTGGCCACCTCTTCCTAATCCCTCCATCATCAATCCATTCAATAGAACAGGAATCAAACTTTGAAATCTCCTACGATGAGCATAACGACGACAGTGGAGAAGTCTTGCAATGAAAACTGCGAGACAAGATCTTATGGAGATGATAATGGCAAAGATAGAACAATCGCGAGACCGATCCGGTAGAGATTCCTTCTTGCGACATTGGGTCGATATGAAAACCGACCCAATCTCTGGTCTCCTGTCCAGCGATGGCGCCGATTGACGGTATTGTTTTTTTACCAGTTTACCAGTTCCTAAGCTAAATATTGGGTTGTGGGGAGGGGGGGGGGGGGGGGGGCGGGGTTGGTTTCTCCATTGTTCTCATCCGGTTTCAATTTGTGGCGGTGGCTGTTAGAAGATGTGATTGGCTGGTGCTGGTGCTTGCTTTGTCACTTGGAGAAGTAGTTTGTAAAGGGATCAACGATGGTAACTTGGATGTCTCTCCTAGAGAGCTTAGAGTAATGGTGAGTGATGTTAAGTTTGAGTAGCTTAGGTGCTTGGCTAGTTATATTTATATTATGTTTTTTGCATTCAATTTGAAGGAACTGAGTTGATTGCTTGGAAATGTTTGATGTTTGCCACTGTAGTTTTTTCAAAGTCCCTGCTGCAATTCCCTGAGCAAGCTTGTAGCTTAGCAAACTTGGCTAGTCGATTGCAGGCCAGGTTGTTTGATGTTTTGTTTTCCCTTGTCATACTCTTTTTTCTTTGGTTTCTCTGTTTCAGTTCATGCTGCTGGTAGTGCTCTGTGCTGGCTGCAATCTCAGGGTGCTCTACCAGATTGTGAAGCTCTATTTCTACTAACCCATAGTAAGTATGTGCATTGTATTATCTTCCCTAACTCTGTTTATATAAGGGATGGGTTTGAAATTTGGCTGTCGTGTGCTGTGTGCTTTCTTTTGGGACAAAATAGAGGGAGCTTGCTTCATGCTTCTGATTTGCCCCCTGTTTGGGCTTATGTAAATTGCTTTGTTCAAGCTTATGTAGACTGCTATGATCCATATTAAAGTTCTTAGATGAATGATTCATGAGCTGCATCGGTGTCCCTTTTTTTATGACTATGAACTGGATTGCATGCTTGTGCTAGATTTTTATGCTCAATAATCATTATAATCATAGTCTAATTGCAAGTTAGTTTGCACGTATGTTTTGGGACTATAGGAGCTGCTACTGTAATGAAATTTGGTCCCTCAAGGAACCACCTTGTGAATGAATGAATAGGTTATGGAATTTCGCAACTTTTTAACTCAATGATTCTGTTGAATTAATATTGTAATGAACTTCCTCGGCAGAGTGGTCTGGAAAACTTCCTCGACGGCGAGATCTGGATGGTCGTCGTCCACAGATCGACTACCTTCTTCAGCTCTGAATGGCCACGACCACCGCTCTTCTCCTCCGATGGGTTGTTGAAGGACTTTTCTAGTTTGCTTGGGAAAGAGCTAGTGGGTGCGACGACGGAGGATTTGCAGCGACGAGAAAAAGAAGGGGAAGGGGAAGTCTAAGTGGCGGATAAAAAAAAGATTGTAGGGGTTTTCAATTAATTAAAAGAAATGGGCTATTTTCACTTGATATTTTCATTTATTATTTTTATTATTTAATTAATTAAAATTTTGCCACGTAAATATCAATCATTAGTCCAGTCAACATCGATAGTTAATTCGTTAAAGTTTTGGACCGAATGGCTATTTCTCTGTATTGTTTTAAAGATGACTATTATTGTCAAGAAGTGGATAATTATGGCTATAAAGATGTATTTTGTCCTATAATTAAAATTATGATTTACATATAAATTACCATATTTTATTTTACATCTAAAAAGAAATCCAATTCGTTGAATCTAAGAACAATTTTACAAGCACAAACTTTGGCCGCAAGTAGATTAATTAAAGGCACATGTATTAGCTTCAATAGGTAATTTCACAAGCAAATCTATATTCCTCTAAAGATAATATTAGAGGCAAATATTTATGTCTCTAATAGAGGATACAAAGGCAAAATAAAAATAACATTAGTAACTAAAATATTAGCTGCAAAATCTATAATCAGCAACAAATAATATATGCCGCTATATTTGCCTCTGTAGGGCTATAGCCACAGGAGTTTTTGAGGCAAATGTTTTGTTTGCCTCTAAATATATATAGAGGCAAATAATGGATATATAGAGGCAAATTTTCTTAGTCGCTATATAAGGATTTTCTTGTAGTGTTCTCTCTTTCCGTCCCAAACCCTCCAGTGAGTCCGCCGACTCACTAGCGTGGCTGGGAAACCGCCTCCAAGCCATCGTCAGAAACGATGTAGCGCATCGGGATGCTGATACCACAGCTACAAGTAGGACGAGGATCGGGCTCGTCAACGTGGACGACAACGTAAGGCGCTCCTACGAAGCCCTCGGGCTGGCTGAGGTTGTCAACGTTGACTTTCAACGTGTATCTGCCAAGCTGACGTGGAAAATGTTCTTCCCTACGTGGGTCGACGAGGATGGGCCCCCGGGCAGCAACAACAATTGCCCGGAGCTGCCCGTGCCGAGGCTCGCGCTCGACGAGCCTCGGTACAAAGACCTGGACGTGGTGGTCGCAGGGGTGCCTTGCGGGGGAAGGAACAACGGGAGCGAAGGGATCAGGGACGTGTTCAGGTTGCAGGTCAACCTGGTCGTGGCGAATCTCGTGGTTGCCGCGGCGGGGAATGGGGATCGAACGGTCCACGTCGTTTTCATCGGGTCTTGTGGGCCGATGCCGGAGATCTTCAGATGCGATGACATGTTGACGCACGTAGGGGATTATTGGGTGTACCAGCCTGATTTGAACCGCCTGAGGGACAAAGTGTCGATGCCTGTCGGGTCGTGCCAAATTGCTCCTCCTTTTGGACCTGCACCAGGTTAGTGCTTTTGTTTTCCCTTAATTTAATTGATTTGATGAACTATGAAATGGTTTGAGGGTGAGATTCATGAATGAGATTTGGACTATAATATAAATACCGATATGTTTACACTTCTACCATAGAATTCATGAACCGATAAACTCTTTTCTTCATGTAGTCGTTAACTGTGACCTAACATTGGCCTGTAATTGCTAATTCTCTAAAAAGAATTACAAATATGGTACTTAAAATCTAGTGGTTACTGATTTACCCAATATAATTTATTTATTTTTTTGGTGAAAAGGTAATATTATAATCAAGGTTGTCAAACCGGTTTATGCCAGTGTGCCGGTTTAGCAAGTGGAATGGTTTAACCGGTGGCACATACCGGTTTGTGCCGGTTCATGCCGGTCATTATTACAAATAAAATTATAAATACTCATATTTAAATATGACATTTAACGTCAATACCTAAATATTTATACTTGAATCCAACAAATAACATCAATATTTAACTTTTATACTCATAAAATAAATAATAAAATAATTTTTATCAATTAAATTCTCTAAAATAAGGTCATTTTACTTAGAAATTCGTATATCGATCATGCCGGTCATACCGGTGGTGTCACGCCGATTTTATGATCGGTACCGGTTGAACCCGGTACAACCGGTGGCACGCCGGCCGGCGTGACAACCATGATTATAATGCTTGGGTACATACCCATATGGTTATTTCCTGGTAGTTAGCAATACCCTTTAATTTTCTTCCATTGGTTTATTGCCAGAAAACGGGAGCAGATCAGGTGAGTAACTTTGTGGTGAGTAACCATGAGTAACCCGTCCACATCAGCATGACATCAGCATCCTCTCTCTCATGGAAAGCCTTTAATTTTTCCCTCTTTAATCTTTGACGGACGATTTCTCGCTCATTTTAAGTCGAAATTTAATTTTTTTTGCACAGTTAGATCAGATTAATTGTGCTCTTCAAAATGATATCCACTTTAATATATTTTTCAAACAAAAAAATTGAGCCATTTTTTTCCAGCCTATACCATATGGTATTGACTGGTATTGAAATAAAAGCATACCTATGTTTTGAAAAACGTACCATGGTGGTATGAACAAACCAATACTGTAGGATGGTTGAATACATGATAGTAGAAGTATATTAATTGTAATTTACGACTTTTAACATTGTATACCACACAATACCACCCCGTACCAGGGTGGTATTGTATGGTACTGTGTGGTATTTTTTGGTCTTGTAATTTGTTCACCCATAAATTTGTAGATCCAATAGATCATGATGAACTCGTCTCTTTTGTGCAAACGTTTTCAAAAATGAATTAAAAACGAAGAAGATACCATACAATACCACCCCGTACCAGTGTGGTATTGTATGGTATTGTGTGGTATTTTTTGGTCCTGTAATTTGTTCACCCAGAAATTTGTAGATCTAATAGATCATGATGAACTCGTCCCTTCTGTGCAAACATTTTCAAAAACGAATTAAAAATGAAGAAAATACCATATGGTATGCAGTTGGTATCGAGATGCCAGAATTTTTTTTTTCTCAAAAAATATTTAAAATTGATCTCATTTTGTAGAGCACGATGAACTCGTTCCACCTGTGCAAAAAAATTTAAAATCCGAGTTAAAACGAAAAAGATATGAGCCGATTAAGAAAGCTAGAAAAAATAAAAATGTCTTTAATTCTCCATCCTTAGATCTGGATTTTCTAAATGAAGAGTTCAGATTTGGTTATTGATGGGTGCATAACCCATGGTTATGCACCCTATCTTGAGCCCCAGAAAACTACTTAATTTACACGTAAAACCTTAGTAACTTTACATAAACACTCACTAAATGAGAATGTATACTTATTTAGCTGATTTTCTCTGTACACCGTTGATTTCATAAGAAAATACCTCAAAGGCTAGTTTGATCCTTCTGTAACTTTTGCAATAACAGGTTTAGATTGTAGATTTTAAAAACTATTTTTAAAATATAGTTAAGCAATCAACTGGTAAATTATTCAAAGTATTTTTTTTAATATCAAAGGTAAAGTAAAATGATTTCTAATATAATAAGGAATAAAAAAGGGAAAATTAAAAATAGTCAAAATGTATATTGTTGAATTTATTATATATTAAAACCGTAAGAATAATTACGTAATTTGAAAATAAATTTTCGCAAGAGTTTATGTTTTTATGTTATATAAAGCACCTAATAACCTTTTCAAAAATCAGATTTACAAAAATATTTGTCCCGACTTCAACCTATGTATCACAAAAACACATCTAAAACTCGGTAAAGCACATAATTAATTAGTTTCAAACAACAAACAACCTTTCATGCAAGGTTGTCAACCCTGACCCGGTGAGAAAAACGGGCCGCACGCACCCGCCGGGCCGACCGCTATTAGGTACCGGGTTGGAGGTCAAATTGTGTCATTTTTTCTTTAGTTTGCGAAATGTGCCTATTTTCCAATTTTTCTTTTCGCCTAACTCAATCTTTGGAATACTAAGTTGAACATTTGAATATTTATGCTATATAAGTGTGTGTGAATTTTAACTATATGTTGGATCTAAGTACGATATGTTATTTTGGTGAAATATTATATGTTATAACTCATATGTTAGATAAGATTTGATATAATTTATGAGAATAAGTACAATATAATGACTCTTTCTATATTTCCGGGCCAAACCGGGCTAAAACAGTTGACCCATTAACCCTTGACCCCCCTAGCTCGACCGGGTCCGGGTCAACCCGCGGTTGACAACCTTGCTTTCATGTAATTCACTCAATTAACAGACAGATACATACATACGTGCAGGAAAAGAATCAGGAAGATCCAATTTCCAAGCCCAGCCCAATCACCATCAAAAGCAAGCCTACGTAACAGTCCTCCACTCCTCCGAAGCCTACGTCTGCGGCGCAATCGCACTGGCCCAAAGCATCAAGCTCACCAACTCCACCAAAGACCTCATCCTCCTCCACGACTCCTCCATCACCCCGTCCTCCCTCGCGGGCCTCCGTTCTGCGGGCTGGACCACCCGGCCCATCAAGCCCATCCGCAGCACCTTCGCCCCCAAAAACTCCTACAACGAGTGGAACTACAGCAAGCTCCGTATCTGGCAGATCCAAGACTATGACAAAGTGGTCTTCATCGACTCCGACCTCTTGATCCTCCGAAACATGGACCACATCTTCCAGTACCCGCAGCTCTCCGCGGGCCCCAACGACAGACACCTGTTTAATTCGGGGATCATGGTCATCGAGCCCTCGAGCTGCACGTTCCAGGGCCTGATAACCAAAACGGACTTGGTCGCCTCTTACAATGGAGGCGACCAGGGTTTCTTGAACGAGATGTTTACGTGGTGGCATCGGCTGCCGCGGAAGGTCAACTGGCTCAAGGCGTTCGAGGTGAAGGGAGATGGTACGGATGTCGAGGATGTGAGTCGCCGGCCCGGTGATGAGGTTTCACTACAAGAAAATCCTTATATAGCGACTAAGAAAATTTGCCTCTATATATCCATTATTTGCCTCTATATATATTTAGAGGCAAACAAAACATTTGCCTCAAAAACTCCTGTGGCTATAGCCCTACAGAGGCAAATATAGCGGCATATATTATTTGTTGCTGATTATAGATTTTGCAGCTAATATTTTAGTTACTAATGTTATTTTTATTTTGCCTTTGTATCCTCTATTAGAGACATAAATATTTGCCTCTAATATTATCTTTAGAGGAATATAGATTTGCTTGTGAAATTACCTATTGAAGCTAATACATGTGCCTTTAATTAATCTACTTGCGGCCAAAGTTTGTGCTTGTAAAATTGTTCTTAGATTCAACGAATTGGATTTCTTTTTAGATGTAAAATAAAATATGGTAATTTATATGTAAATCATAATTTTAATTATAGGACAAAATACATCTTTATAGCCATAATTATCCACTTCTTGACAATAATAGTCATCTTTAAAACAATACAGAGAAATAGCCATTCGGTCCAAAACTTTAACGAATTAACTATCGATGTTGACTGGACTAATGATTGATATTTACGTGGCAAAATTTTAATTAATTAAATAATAAAAATAATAAATGAAAATATCAAGTGAAAATAGCCCATTTCTTTTAATTAATTGAAAACCCCTACAATCTTTTTTTTATCCGCCACTTAGACTTCCCCTTCCCCTTCTTTTTCTCGTCGCTGCAAATCCTCCGTCGTCGCACCCACTAGCTCTTTCCCAAGCAAACTAGAAAAGTCCTTCAACAACCCATCGGAGGAGAAGAGCGGTGGTCGTGGCCATTCAGAGCTGAAGAAGGTAGTCGATCTGTGGACGACGACCATCCAGATCTCGCCGTCGAGGAAGTTTTCCAGACCACTCTGCCGAGGAAGTTCATTACAATATTAATTCAACAGAATCATTGAGTTAAAAAGTTGCGAAATTCCATAACCTATTCATTCATTCACAAGGTGGTTCCTTGAGGGACCAAATTTCATTACAGTAGCAGCTCCTATAGTCCCAAAACATACGTGCAAACTAACTTGCAATTAGACTATGATTATAATGATTATTGAGCATAAAAATCTAGCACAAGCATGCAATCCAGTTCATAGTCATAAAAAAAGGGACACCGATGCAGCTCATGAATCATTCATCTAAGAACTTTAATATGGATCATAGCAGTCTACATAAGCTTGAACAAAGCAATTTACATAAGCCCAAACAGGGGGCAAATCAGAAGCATGAAGCAAGCTCCCTCTATTTTGTCCCAAAAGAAAGCACACAGCACACGACAGCCAAATTTCAAACCCATCCCTTATATAAACAGAGTTAGGGAAGATAATACAATGCACATACTTACTATGGGTTAGTAGAAATAGAGCTTCACAATCTGGTAGAGCACCCTGAGATTGCAGCCAGCACAGAGCACTACCAGCAGCATGAACTGAAACAGAGAAACCAAAGAAAAAAGAGTATGACAAGGGAAAACAAAACATCAAACAACCTGGCCTGCAATCGACTAGCCAAGTTTGCTAAGCTACAAGCTTGCTCAGGGAATTGCAGCAGGGACTTTGAAAAAACTACAGTGGCAAACATCAAACATTTCCAAGCAATCAACTCAGTTCCTTCAAATTGAATGCAAAAAACATAATATAAATATAACTAGCCAAGCACCTAAGCTACTCAAACTTAACATCACTCACCATTACTCTAAGCTCTCTAGGAGAGACATCCAAGTTACCATCGTTGATCCCTTTACAAACTACTTCTCCAAGTGACAAAGCAAGCACCAGCACCAGCCAATCACATCTTCTAACAGCCACCGCCACAAATTGAAACCGGATGAGAACAATGGAGAAACCAACCCCGCCCCCCCCCCCCCCCCCCCCCTCCCCACAACCCAATATTTAGCTTAGGAACTGGTAAACTGGTAAAAAAACAATACCGTCAATCGGCGCCATCGCTGGACAGGAGACCAGAGATTGGGTCGGTTTTCATATCGACCCAATGTCGCAAGAAGGAATCTCTACCGGATCGGTCTCGCGATTGTTCTATCTTTGCCATTATCATCTCCATAAGATCTTGTCTCGCAGTTTTCATTGCAAGACTTCTCCACTGTCGTCGTTATGCTCATCGTAGGAGATTTCAAAGTTTGATTCCTGTTCTATTGAATGGATTGATGATGGAGGGATTAGGAAGAGGTGGCCAGGGATTGATGCAAAGGCCGCCGGCGGGAAGGAGATGCAGCCTTCTGGTTCTTGCGCCTGGAGGAGGAAGGTTTCGGAGGGCGGCGCGAAACGGAGAAATCTAGGGTTTGAGCCAGCAATAAGCGCAGCGATAAGGGGGAGAAGGGTTGGGAGATGAAGATAGATTGATTGGTGGTGTGGGTGTTGTTGTCGATGGTATGCTCTCTCTCCTTCTAATTGGGGATTTTCAAGGAAGAGGTCTGGGAGTGGGAGATGAAAATGAAAAAATTGAAATGGAAAGCGGGAACTGAGCGCGCCAGCCCAAAACGAAAAAAATGAAAATCCCGCTCCTTCTTATTTTTCCCTCCCAATCACTTTTCATTTGGTGAAATTTCTTGTATGGATAGTCGGATAGTTATAGCTAGGGATGACAACAAAATCCGAACCCACGGGTACCCACTCGATCCAATCACTTTTCCGGTATATTTAGTATTCTAAATAATATATCTTCCTTAAACAACTAATATTCTTTATGTTTTGTGGAGACATGTATAATTTGTTCTTTCTAATTTTTTAGAATGAAGTTGATATTATGAAGTGGAGAGTGAAGAAACTTAGTTGACGAGGAAGAAGCTTTCAATTAATCTTATTATTTATAGATGTTTATCTTTAATTTTGAACAATTTGTATTGATCATTTGCGGTTTGCTTGTATGCTCTAGATTGGTGTTTTTTGTATGATTAATTTGTATGAGAAAATTGATGTTAAACTTTTATTTTGAAAGAAACTTGTTATTGTAAATTTTTTACCACAAAAACCCACGGGTACCCATAAACCCGCGGATACCCAGCGGGTTGGGTTGGGTTTGAGTTTTTCAAACCCAGCGGGTTTTACCCCGGGTTTTTTTGGCGGATAAACCCATGGGTTTGGGATTTGGTTTGACAAAATCCGCCCCAACCCGACCCATTGCCATCCCTAGTTATAGCGACAAATATAAAATATTTATTGCGGTAAAAGAATTATTAGTCGTTACAAAGCTTTTAGAGTTTCTAAACTTAATTGCTATAGTGGCAAATTATGTATGTGTAGTATATCTAATACTTTTAGAGGCACATAATTGTGCCTATTGAGGCAAATTATATGTGTTGCATAAGTAATACTTTTAGAGGCACATAATGGTACCTATTGAGGCCAATTATATATATGTTGCTTATAATATTCTTTTAGCGGCAAATACAATATTTGCCTCAACAATTAGCCGCTATACGTGGGTTCTCTTGTAGTGTTTATGGGTTGCATTTGCTGGGGATGAAGCCGTGGATGTGTTATAGGGACTATGATTGTAATTGGGATTCGGTGGATCATCATCAATTTGCGAGTGATGCAGCTCATAGGAAGTGGTGGGAGGTTTATGATGCTATGCCTAGGAAGTTGCAAGGTTTTTGTGGGTTGAGTAGGGAGGTGGATGAGAGAATTAGGAAGGGGAGGAGGGTGGCAAAGAGTAGGAAGTTGAGGAATGGAAGGTGGAGGATTAGAGTGAAGGATCCTAGAAGAGATCGTTTGATCAAGGGATGAAGAGAACGCAAAATTAGTTTTGTACTAGAAAAGTGGGTGGTAGTATGGTAGAGTAATTTTGTGGCGTAATCCAATTATTCATGTCGATAAAGTTTTATATTGGTTTGAAGTAGATTTTTCTAGACATGGTAATGGGTAGATTCATTGGATAATTTGATCTAACCGTCATGACTCATATGAGTATTGGGTCGGATTGAATGGATTCATATGCACTTTTAAATGATTTCGAGTTTGGTTTGGTCTGAATTGGATCCTATTTGGTCAATTCATTTGGGTTAGATCCAAATGGATCTAATTGGTTCTTGATTATTGTATAGACAAAAAAATAATATCAACCATTTCATTAACTAACTTCAATCTAATTATGCACTTTTAGCGTAGGTGTTTCCACCTTTTATTTTTTTGTTCTTAACAAAAAATAAGACAAAAATTACATTATAAACGTATACTCATTTTCTTTTGAATTTCTAATGAGCCAAATTTAGACCAAACTAAAAAGTTGGGTATGAATATGTCGTGAAATTAAAATTATCTAAACTTAATTTGTCTTATAATAAGATGGGTTTGAATATACCCAAATATCGAATCCTTTTTACAATCTCCAATTTTTTCGATCAAATCCCTCATAAGCCAATACTGTACATTTTCGTAAACGGTAAACACTAATCTAAAAACATGAATAAATGGAGAATTACTTGTTTTCTAATCATAGCGGTGAGGTATGGGAAAATAAAAAGGGTTCAACAATAATATAAATAGTAAAATTTTAAACGGATAAAGTACATACGTCCATATATACGTATATTAAATGAATTATTGAATAACTATGGTTGGAAATTGCCAAGACACATCTAACTTTTAGGAGGAAAATATTGCCATATATGTCTAAATTAATTATCAAACTCCCCACCTTGAGGTGGTATACGAGTGTTCTGGAACTACAACATTTTTTTGTTCTTATTTTAATAAATTAATTTATTACACTACAAAAAAATCTACAATTGGAATAGAACTCTAATCAATGGGGAGTTTAGTTGGACAGTGGATACCTTGGAAGAGACTTACTTAAAAATGTAGACAACGAATTGTGGATATTTATGAAAATAATAATTATATTAGTCTGTTATTTCTATATTGATATATTTGTATATTATTAGTTTTAATTAAAATAATTATATATATATATATATATATATATATATGGGTGACGTTTTCGGTGCACTCACTTTTTTGGGTGCATTTATTAGAGATAAATAAATATTTTTCCTCCTTTATTTATTTATTTATTTATTTCCACTCTCCTATCGGTTCCTACTCTTGTGGATAGTGGCTTGCATCTGTTGCAACGTCCAGCTACTTTCTCTCCTCACTTCTGTATATTAAATCATGAGATTATCAATGAGAATAACAATCAAGATTTCCTCAATCTCTGAAACTCTACATGGTATCAGAGCTAGCAACGATCAGCTAGATCCATCTTCTCTTATTCTCGTTTTTTTTTCTCTGTTCTTTCGCTAATCATCATGGCTAGCGACTCTACTGTTTCCGACTCAAGCAAAGGATCCACAAGCTCAGAGATCCAAATCATTACCTTTAATCCAGCCGCTCAGCTTCCTCTGAAGCTTACTCCTTCGAACTTCGCCTCATGGCGCTCTCAGCTTGAAACTCTCCTCATGGGGCTCGATTTGATTGGCTACCTGGATGGAACCACAATCGCCCCACCTCAATCGATCACAATAGATGAGGTCTCGACAGCCAATCCTGCTTATCGCAACTGGTTCAGGCAGGATAAACTCATTCTTCATGCCATGAGATGCTCAATTGACGAATCCATCTACTCCTTTGTCTCGGCTGCATCCACTGCTTGTGAAGCTTGGCTTACTCTGGAAAAGCTTTACGCTAGCAGTGCTCAATCGCGCGTCATTCATTTGAAAGGGAAGCTGGCAAAATCGATCAAGGGAGATCGAGACATCCTCACCTTCATCAACGACCTCAAGGTCTGGGCGAAGACTACCAGGCTTTCGCCGCCGCTGTTCGTGCCCGAGGTCCTGGCCTCACTCTTGAGGACCTGGTGGATTCGCTGGTGGAGTTTGAAGCTGACATCAAGGCGCGTCCACAAACAACTGTGCCGACGGCGTTCTATTCTCAAGGCCAGAAACAGGGAGGCTCTCCTCAGTCCCGTCCTCACCGTGGCGGCGCTTCATCCCAGCCCTATTTCGCTGGCTCCTCTCCACGTGGGCCGCCAAGCCCATCTCGACAGTTATTCTCCGGCCCAGCGTCTCCACGTGAGACTTCCAGCCCACTGCCTCGTAGGCCCAGGCAGGTCTGCCAATATTGCGAAAAGCCTGGCCATACTGTCCACCAGTGCTTTCGCCTCTTTCCTCAAGCCCGCCATGCTCATCTTCAAACTCGGCAGGCCCAAGCTCATTTCTCAAATGCAGGCCCAAGCTCGTTTCCCAAGTCCACGCCCAGCCCGTCCACTCCATGGCTGATGGATTCAGCTGCTTCCCACCATGTCACAGTAGATCTTGGGAATTTATCACTATATTCAGATTATACAGGGCCTGACGAATTGGTTGTCGGGAATGGCTCAGGTTTGCGCATTAGCCATATTGGCTCTTCTCACCTATCTACTGGATTGCACTCCCTATCATTACAGGATGTTTTACATGTTTCTTCCATTAAACGACATCTTATTTCTGTGGCTCAATTATGTCGTACTAACCCAGTGTCCGTGGAATTCTTTGCCACGCATTTTGTTGTTAAGGATCTTCGCACGGGGGCGCTGATGCTGAGAGGGGAAAACAGAGGTGATGTGTATGAGCTCCCACCCACGACCGAACCTGTTCGCATGGCCCTTGTCACCACTCGCACGTCCACCCAATCCTGGCATTCCAGACTTGGTCATCTATCCGCTCCTTCCCTTCGCAGTTTGCTCTGCTCCCATTCACTTCCAGTTTCATCATCATCTTCTCTAAGTCATTGTGATGCTTGTCTTTCCAATAAATTACATAAACTTCCCTTTGGTGTTTCTTCCCTTACCAGTGTTAGACCATTTGATCTTTTATATACTGATGTTTGGGGCCCTGCTCCTGTTACCTCTCTTGATGGTTTTCGTTTTTACTTGATTATTATTGATCACTACACTCGTTATACATGGTACTATCATCTCCGTCGTAAATCCGATGTTTCCCAAGTATTTTCCGATTTTTGTACCATGGTTGCCAACTATTTCTCCACTACCATTCGTCGTCTATACACTGATGGTGGTGGTGAATTCATCAAATTATGTCCTGATCTATCTACTCATGGTATTACCCACCTACTCACTCCTCCTCATACGCCGGAGCACAATGGCTTGGCTGAGCGTAAACACCGCCATCTTGTTGAAACCGGCATTACTCTCCTTCATCACGCTAAACTTCCCTCCATTTTTTGGTCCTATGCCTTCTCCACTGCGATTTATTTGATTAATCGTATGCCTTCCTCTGCCCTTCGTGGCCAGGTACCTTATACTCTTCTCTTCAACCAACATCCTAACTATCATAAGCTCCGAATTTTTGGATGTTTGTGTTACCCATGGCTTCGCCCTTACGCCCCCAAATAAACTTGCCTCCCGATCCCGTCCTTGTATTTTCCTCGGCTACTGCCCTCAAAGGAGTGCTTACAAATGCTTTGATTCCCTCACTAATAGGCTGTTTCTCTCACGTCATGTGCATTTTGTTGAAGAGGAATTTCCAGGTTATTCTTCTCCCACTGCTCCTGCTATTCCTACACCCGCTACTTGGGTGTTTGATACCGCCCCGCCCATCACCTATCTCTCCGGAGCTCGGCCCGCATCACCTCCCGTCAGCCCAGCCCCGCCTGGGCCCAATTCCCCCTCTCCATCGGCTCTCTTCGGCGAAGACTCCTCCTCAACATCGCCTGGCTCATCCTCGGCCACTGGGCCTTCCTCTGGGCCCGCTACTTCACCAACTGGGCCTGCCATTCCACCGCCTGTGCAGCCTCCTCCTCTGGCCCGCTCGCACAACATGACTACTAGGGCTCAACATGGCATCTTCAAGCCCAAACGGCTGTTTCTCACCACTATGGGCTCCTCCTCTGCTTCCTCCTCACCGCCCCTGGAACCTACCTCTGTCAAAGAAGCTCTGCTCTATCCCGAATGGTCCGCTGTCCTCACTGCCGAAAACCAGGCTCTCCATGCCAATGAAACGTGGGATCTCGTGCCTCGCCTCCCCCATTACAATGTCTTGGGTAATCGGTGGCTCTATCGAGTCAAGAGGGAACCCGATGGTTCTATTGCCAGATTCAAGACTCGGTTGGTGGCCAAGGGCTTCCACCAACGCCCCGGTATTGACTTCGGCGACACCTACAGTCCGGTTGTCAAACCAGTTACAGTCCGCACGGTACTCACTCTTGCTCTCTCTCACCAGTGGTCCATTTCCCATTTCGACGTCAATAATGCCTTCTTGCAAGGCCCTTTGGAGGATGAGGTATACATGCTCCAACCCCCTGGTTTCAAGGATCCGACCCGTCCTCATCATGTCTGCCGCCTCAAAAGGGCAATTTACGGACTTCGGCAGGCACCCCGCGCTTGGTACACTGCTCTCGGTGCTTTTCTCCTTGATTTTGGCTTCATCAAGACCGTCTCGGATTCATCCCTATTTGTCTACAAGCGCGATGATGCTCTGCTCTACTTTCTCGTCTATGTCGACGACCTCTTACTCACCGGCAACAATGCTCCGCTGCTTGCCTCTTTTCGCGAGGCTCTCTCCCGGCGTTTTTCATTAAAGTCTTTGGGGGATGTCTCCTACTTTCTGGGAATTGAGGTAATCCCCATTGCTGATGGCTATCTGCTCTCACATCACAAATATATGCAGGATATTCTCACTCAGTTTGATATGCTTGAGGCGGCTCCAACCCCAACTCCGATGGCTTCCACCGTAGCCCTATCTCTCACAGACGGCAGCTCACCCACTGACTCCACTCGGTTCCGCCAG